GAGACATCCACCCTGGAAATGGCTCTTCATTGTTCTTTTTCTTATGAGCAGTACCCACGGTCTTAGGTCTTCAATGTCAACTTCACTTGGGATGGACCTGGAGCAGGGAGCTCCAGTGGCTCAAGTGGGAATCTGTGAGAGGAGGTAGAGCCCCAGGTGAAAGCACACTGTCATAGAATCATAGAATAGTTAGGGTTGGAAAGGACCTTAAAATACCCTAGTTCCAACACCCCTGCCATGGGCAGGGGCACCTGTCCTTGCCGAATGTGTCTCCACTACTAGGGGCAAGGAGCTGTTGTTGGCTTCCATTTGCAGTGGGGTAACTCTCACCTTGAGCCGTGTGTGAATGCACAAGAAAAAGTTGATTCTGGCTTCATGAAGCTAAAACTTAAAAAAAGATCACTGTAGTTGTTACTGTTCATACTGCAATGGCTGTCTGACCCCAAACACCTTGATCCATATGAAACGGGCAAGGGAGGCTTTCCTGCTGGCAGCTAGACTCTTAGCTTTTAACAAGTGCTCCAGGAGGAAGGCAGTATAAGGCAGGTGAGGAGGAATGAAATGCAGTATCTCGTGGGGAAAAAATACAGCCTCTTGCACTTTTCTGCAGTTTTCAAGGGAGTCTCAAGCTTCAGGATGAAGTAAATCCCTTCTCTGCTCTTAAGGAATTGTTATTCTGCAGCCCCAGAATTTTCCTGTAGGCAAATCTTAGACTTATTTCAAGCTACCTGCCTGCAGGTATGCTCTACTTAAGCCTTATAATTTACTTGCAAATATTTGAATCCTCTAAGATAACTTGGTCTGGCTTGAACTGCAAGTGCATGTTCACATCACCTGCTTTATGGTTTTTTTTGTCCTGGGAAGTTTTCCTAGGGAGAATTGGCAGGATAGAGATACCTGCTGTAGCTTATCACTTCTGGGTATTAGAAAACTCCTCAAAATGCCCTACAGTTGCTGTGTTTGCCAGGGACAGAGCTTGCACTGACACCCGCACAGCTTTTGTGTTCTCTTTTTCTTTGTAGATGCTTTCCCTTTCTGTGTGTTCGGGATCTTCATGTGAAATGTGACACTATAAATCCTTCTGTGGTTTTCTTGTTTGAAACAAATGTGGATTCCATTCCATTTGTCCAGGGACGAGGAGGGAGCCTAGCCTGCATTTGATTTTCTCTGCCTTTTGACCTGTCACATTGGTCCCCTGCTGAAGGCTGTGGAGAGCAGCACACGGTGCCCATATCACAACTCATTCTGTGCTTCCCCCAGCCTGGTCCTGACGCTGGGGACTGGCAGGGGTTTCATTAAAGCTGCAGAGGTGTAAGAGGGTTTCCTCTGAAGTAATGCATTTCTGTAACAGAAATCTTGTTTGCTAATGGAAATTACTGGTTTTCAGCAAAGGAGATTTGAACAACAAAAATGTTACTAGCTATGTTGAAAAAATGCCTTTCTGGCACACAGAAAATCCTGACCCCGAAGGCATTGACTTATATGGATGCAGGGTCTTGCCCATTTGTCTTGTGTGACCACTGCTATATGCTTCGGAAAAGTCATCGGGATTCCGAAAGGGGAGATAAGGAGAATAACCTGCTGGTACAGAGGTTTCTGCCTGCTCTCCCTTCCAGGGAATGGCTGACTCTTCGAGGCTTTACCTCTCTTCTACTTGTCAAAGGCTTTACTGCCTTCTGCTAACCTGATGCTAGTTGTTTTGATTCATATGCGTGTCCGGTTTATTTTCTATTCTACAGAGGGTTTGGCCATACCAACACTTTGCCACAGTTAGTTTCATGAATTGTTTGTGGGTTTTGATAAAGATAGCATTTCCTTTCCTCAGTTTAAGCATGCTGCTCTTTTAATTGCGCTGATGGGATGATGGCTGTTTCTGTGTTTGCCTCTACCCCATTATTTTTGCATATTCATGTTTTGCTTGTTAGTTGAGGCTGCTTTAGACTGAGATGATCTCTTCATAATGATGGCTCATATTTAAGTTGATGTCGTTAATTTAAACCCTAAAAATACAGGAGCATGTTTTGGATCATTCTTTCAGTTGTGCATTACCATATGCAAAAAGTGCACTTCATCTGCTGTCTTGTCTTTTCTTTACTGACTGGGGTGTTGGTCTCAAAAGCTTTTCCAGCCACCTCCATTATGGGCTCAGATAAGTACCACACCTTCCATCAGCTCCTACGCCTTGATGGTCACCTCATGATCAGTGTCCATTTGACTTTGATAGAACTTCCAGGTTTTAATCCTTTTTTATTCAGATTACTGTGTGCTCGCCTAAATATTTTGTGATTCTTAGCTGTGTGGTTAAGACCTCTGCACCTGGACTGAGGGCCAGCTGCAGACACCCTGTTTCAGGGAAGGAGGAGAATTCTGATCTTGTTAATTAGTACCTTTCACACTGGTTTTCAGTTCAGTTTGTTGTAAAAGACAGCAAGGAACCCTTTGCTTTGACTCTCTCTGAAACGTAAATAACTTGTATGAAGGAGGTATTTCCATTTTCGCAATTCCTTCTTTCATTGGGGTAGTGTTTTATTCTGGGCACCATTTTGTTGGTGGCTGAGTGATGATACGTTTGTACTGTCGCATGGACAGATGGAGAAGGGAAAGGAGAAGAAATGGCGGAGTCTTTAATTAGCCGTGCAGCGCCAGAGCATGCTTTTCCAGGGCGTCTGGGGTTTTATGTAGGGTGTAGAGGCTCAGCCGCTCGATGGATCCAAACTAGCAAAATTGTGTATCCACCGCCAGGGCGTTTCTATGGTAACTGTCTCTCAAATCATATATACAAACAGACCTGGCAGGGGGTATCACCATCTATTTGGTCTGTAGGAAGCCATCGGAAAAGAGGTGTTTTCAGGCTGCAAAAAGGGCTTGCGATGTAAATATTTTTTACTTTCTGGTAAGTGGTGTAAGTTTTGGGATCAGTGATGAGTGCTGGCTCCATTCCGAATCTGTTTGTGTTTCTGCACATTGACTGGCAGCTGTTATTCCCGATAGGTGTGAGAGTCATCACCAGGAAACTTGCACGAGGTTGCAAATGCACAGTTAGCAGGCGTATCCTTTAGCTCGGAAACATCTTGCTGCTGCACATCATTAACAGCCTATCTACAGCCATGCAGGTAGACTGTATGCTACATGGCTTTTGTGCTGAGCGAACCAAATTATATGTTCATTTCTTTTCCTCTCATCATTCCTCATGAAACAGCAGAAATCTGGAGGCTCTTCTCTCACCGGTGTACCTCGCGAATTAAGAGAAATCATCAACCTAATCAAATTAGCACTGTGAGAACAGCCAAAGTGGCTGTGACTCTTCACCTAGGTGACTCTATCTTTATAAATTCTCTCTACGTGTTGCTTTTCCTGGTGGAAAAAAAAGAAAAATGAATGAATGATCCATTTAGCTTACTGCCCTCTTTTTGAAATGTAAGGCAATTATTGTTATTTTTCGCCTGTCCAAAGCCAGGCACTGCTAAAGCATGGCTCATTTCAAATGAGAAGTGGTTATTTCTTGTGGCCGTCAGTTCCATGAGAGCTCCTTTCTGGTTTGAGTCTAATAAAAGAGAGTTAGCAAGAGATCTGTGCTAAATAATCTTTTTCACTTATGAGTCTCTTGGATGTTGCATGGTATCGGTTGAGTGGTGAGTGTATAATGGTGTTTGTCTGGAATAATTCCTAAGCTTGCTTAGTAGCTTCAAGGGATAGTGCCTCTCTTTGCACTGGACCTTGGCTTATTTAATCGGTCCATAAGAGACTGTACACAGAAATGCTATATAAAAGTGGATAAGGCTATGCCTGAGTGCACAACCCTTCCCATTGTAGAAGCTTACACATATCTTCAATGAAAATGGCATATTGTTCATAAATTACAGGACTGACAGGAATGTACTCTAACCTGTAGAATGTGAAAAACATGTTAATTTTTGTTTGTTTTCTCTTTTTACAACCAGGCATTTGCCGAAAGCTTTGTGTGATTTATTCTTTTCTTTTTAATGAATTCTTAAAAATGTTTGAAAAGGCATTAAATCTTCCTTTCTGCTATTAATCTGTAAAAGGGGAAGGGGATTTTAAATGGCCTTTTAGTATATTGCTTTATAAAACTGCTGATTCTAGCAGCACCGGAATAGGAATACATACTAATGTAGGAAACACTGAAGGCAGTCAGAGCCTTCTGCATTTATGGAGGAAAAGACTAATAGCTCCATTTTAACAAGGCTCTTAACACTTTGGGCCATCAGCAGGCATTGAGTGAGTGAAATTGGGAGAGCTCCTGTGTGCTAAAAGCATTGAAGTTCACCATTTTGTACCCTAGTTGGAGCCTTCCTGATAGAATTGCACTCTCCAGCCAACTCCAGTTGCCATCTTGAAAACAAACCAAGCAGCGACCTGGCATTTTGACTGAGTGCACTAATGCTTCACTTTTGAAATGGCACCAGAGCATGATAAATGCACTTAACTCCCAGTGGGATACTTAGCTTTGCAGTGGCGTTAGGGAAAGTTTCTGTGTGTGTGTGTGTGTGTGTGTGTGTGTGTGTGTGTGTGTGTGTGTGTGTTAAGAATGCAAGCAAAGCCTGTTTATAGCACGTTTTATACTTGAGCAAAACACAGAAGAGAGGAAAAATCTGCAAACTTGGTACTAAGACGCTAGCTTTGATTCAAGTAGTTACGCCACAGAAATCAGAAGGGATGTGCTTAATTAGATTACATCCTCATGTTACTGAATTCTAGGGGAAAGGCCAGCCAGGGGAGGAGTATCACAGCTAGGACACAGGTGAGGAAAAGGCCCTGAAGAATGTACCTGTTCTAAATAGCTCTTTCATACGGAAACCTTTCTTGTTAGCGTGATAAGATTATGTATGGGATTTGTATCTTCTTTGAGCCCCTGCCTTTCTTTTGTTGGTTTTGGCATGTTGCGGCATCATGTGTTCTCTGCTTATCATTTTGAGATGCATTGTTAGTAGCTGGGCTGCATAATTGATCTTCATCTCTAATTACTGTCCTCTCCACAGGTGCCTGGAAAAGGTCCAGATGGGAGCTCATACAATCTCCACTTCGAGGGGATGGAAAGGCAGTATGCATCCTTACCCAGGTATGGCACTGAGCCTCACACACACAGAGTCTGATTCACCCTCCCTTCAGTGGGTGGGGAATTCAGCCCACAGCTATATCTGGCTCCAGCATGAGATATTATTTTGCAGTTTTGTCTTGCCACCTTATGCTGCTGATTTAGTGCCATCTTTATAACTCTACTCTTAATATGGACTTTTGAATTTATGTATTTTAAAAGGTTTTACACTGAACATGTCAGCAAGAGTCATGATCCACAGGTAGAGAACATGACATTGAGGAAACTGGCTTTGCAGAAGTTATAACAGGTCGTAGCAGGGCATAAATGACTTGAGTTTAAATGATCCATCCCTGACAGTGTTCAGGGCCAGGTTGGACAGAGCCTTGGGTGACATGGTTTAGCAGGAGGCGTCCCTGCCCATGGCAGGGGGGTTGGAACTAGATGTTCTTAAGGTCATTTCCAACCCAAACCATTCTGTGATTCTGTGGCATTGACAGAGTACTGCTGTGGAAAGCCTCCACTGCAGCAGCCACAGCCACTGAAGTCCCACTGCTGCTGCAAGGACTGACTGACTAGCAGTCCTGTTCCAGTAGAGCATCTCTGTGCTTTAACTGAACGCTGTGGAAATGCGAGTAAATTCTCTGAGGGCTTTTTTTAATTTTTAATCCTTATCAACTCAATGGAGAGTAATTCTAGCATGAAACCAGTGGGGCATAACAAAAAGGAAGCATTTCAGAGATTTCAGTCCCATTTCTGTGGGAGTTCTAATAGCAGAGTGTAAGCTGTAGCAAGGCAGAAAGGGGAACAAGAGGATGCTAGAAAATATGGTGGGAGGAAAACAAAAATAGAAAAATATTCCCCTTTTAGAATTAGAGGCCTAAGAAAGACCTTAGGGAGGTTGCCCAGTCCAGTTCTTGGTCCTACAAGCAAGGTAATTTGCAAAGGCAAAGCAATAATAGCTATTTAAAAGCAAGAAGAGATTCTTCATTGTGAAATAACGCTGGCATTTAGGAAATCAGTGAATTTGCTTCTTTTTCCACAATCTACATTCAAAGGTCTCACTGGAGAGATTGATTGATAAATGTGTAATGCTGTGTCCAATTCCAGATGAAAATACAAAGATGTTTTTGGAAACCAATATATAGAGGCTGTATCACAAGACATCATTGGATGTTTGTAGGTATTTTTTAATGTACGTGGTTTCTAAACTGTAGCTCAGTTAATGCCTTCAAACAATATTTGTGTCAGCCATTGTTTTGGAAATTCATCCTGTGCAGTAGCTGCCTTTTCTAACAGAAGCCTGCTTTCAGGCAGTGTCTTGTACGTATTTCCTGACTGACTGTGAGTATTCTTACTCTCCTGGGTAAGTAGCCATCTTTTTCTGTAGTTCTCCAGTACTCAGGTCTCCTCTCATGTTTTTAGCAGTGATTTTTGCAGGTTAGTTAGGTGTAGTTTAATTATGCACACTCTTTTTTATCTATTTTAAATTTCAATTTTGTTGAGTACTTCCTTGTGAATTACAAGAAGAAATTAGCAATTGGTGCCCAGTGTAACTCTCTACAGCAATTTTCATATTCCTATATCATGTCTCTTTTTATTCGTTTTCCCTTCAAAGCTAATCAACCTTATTTTTTCAGTCTTTATGAAATGGAAATTTCCCAGTGAAGTCTTAACTCCCATCACCCAGAATACTTTTTATTTCACTGGTATCCCTTTCGAGGATCACCAGAAGTGAGCACAACAATGCAGATGTAGATGTGCCCTTGCTTTATGCAGCAGTGTTGTCTGTATTCCTTCTATCTTGTTCCTTTTTAAATGCTCTGCATCCTTGGCATGTCCCCTAGGTGTGTGTACCATAGGGGGTACTCTACACCCTGCGTTTTCATGGAGGGGGGATGGGTTTAGTTGGGATTTTGAGGTTTTTGTTTAAAATAGGTCTATTCTTCCCAAAACCAAGACTTACTGGGAATGTGACTCTAGGTTTTCTAACAGGTTTGAGTATTTAGCTGGCTGGGTCTCACCCTTTAGGCAGTCATCCAAACATTCAATCAGCTTTTGAAGATCAGTGTGAAAAGTGCCATTTCTCTCAGTGCCTAAGAAGATCATGCTAGAGAGTGAGGGCCTGCACTTCAGCAGGGCTGTGTGTGCTTTCTGATCCAAGCACTTGCACTGCTGCACACAGGTCATGCATTGCTGTGCCTCCAGACAGTTTCTTCCCTGGTAGGATCAGAGCTTTGGGGCAGTGCACCCTCGGGTGTGCCTGCAGTCCAGCAATCCACTGCTGCCTTTTATACTTGGGTTTTGTAAGTTTTGCAGTTTCATGTTACTGCAGTAATTAAGCCCTGGCAGTCACAAATGACTAGATTGCTACAGTGAAGTCTAAATCCAGAGGAGGATGTAGTCTCATTGCCAGCCACTAATGGAAATGAGTGATTTCTTTTCTTCTGATGGCTGCCTGCCCAGGTGTATTAAAGGAATCTAGGTAGAAACTACCCATTTTCCAACTTATTCTCAGTGGAGGATCCATGAATACTACTCTAATGGACAGCATTATTACAAAAAAAGAAAGTTAGAAAGAAACACAGATAATAATTTCCTCGAAGATCTGCTTTCTTCTCCCCAGCATTCTGGTCTTATTTCATGATTTCCTGCCTGTGGGTTTATTCCCCTCCTTGTCTTGTCCTGTCCTGACCTTATCTTGATCATAGAATCATAGAATAGTTAGGGTTGGAAAGGACCTTAATATCATCAAGTTCCAACCCCCTGCCATGGGCAGGGATGCCTCACATTAGACCATGTTGCCCAAGGCTCCATCCAACCTGGCACAAGTCCAGGTAGATGATGTGAACTGCTCTACCCCTGTCCATCAGTTCCATAGCCCCATCGTAGAAGGCCACCAAATTGGTCAGGCAGGATTTCCTCTTAGTGAAGCCATGCTGGCTGTCACCAACCACCTCATGGTTTTCCATAAGCCTTAGCATGCTTTCCAGGAGAATCTGGTCTATGATCCTGCCAGGCACAGAGGTGAGACTGACAGGTCTGTAGTTTCCCTGGGTCTTCCATTTTCCCCTTCTTGAAAATGGGGGTTATATAATCACTGGGATACATCTGACATGGATGTGGTGTATAACTGTCTGCATACTTAGCCATTTAAGTCCAGTTTAATAAGAGGTACTTAGAGAGTCTTCAGATGAGGGTTGTAGATGCTTGGAGACAGATTCTTACTGCGATACTGTGTTGAGTCCAGGATCTTTGCTGTTACGCTGGTGTGGCACACGCAAGGAAAGAAAGGCAAGCGTTTAGACTGCAGCCAGTTTCACTCAATGAGGAGGGAAGGGGGAATCTGTGCTATGTCAAGAGTAGCTGGGATCTACACAGTAAAACTGTTCTGCTTACCTGGAAGCCAGCAGGAGTCATGCCAGTGTGTGGATATGGACAAATTGAGTATGAGAGCTTTGGTTTTCCTCCCCACTGGGCAAGAAAGAGGAATGATCACCTGCCAAACAGCTTTATGAATGTCTGGTGCCCTTAGGCACTACCCTGTTCCTGTGCAAAGGCACACCTCCTGCATGAGGGGGAATTCAGACTGCCAGCAGCATCCAAACATATCTGCTTGTGGGTTGTAAAAATCTAAGCTTTGAAACATCATTACTGCTTTGCCCTTTCCCTTTTGTTTTGTATTCTTCTGTTTTTTCTCCAGAGCTGCTAACTTAAGCCTAGGTATTATTGGCCAGATTCAGGTAATGTGTCTGTATTAACTGCATTTGAGGGATTCAGCTGTGTCGAGTGTGCTTGCCTTTTCAGTCGATGCAGCAGCAAATCCAGTGTCCCAGTCTCACTGAGCTCAGTGACGCCCTTTTTTGCCTCTCAGTGCAGGATCTGTTCCTGTGTAAGGTTACATTTTTAATTAAAAGCTGAAAACAGGAGGCAGCAGCCTTTGGAGGAAGGCTTTGTATGTGACTGGCTTAATGAGTGAACAGCTGAGTTATGTAGTTAGGTTTCTAAGTAAAATAAAGCCAGTCTGTAGACTTGGTTTGGAAATGTCTAGAGAAGCAAACATCTGAATTAGATGGTAAGTGGTTGTGGCAGGAGAGTGGCAGGTCTTCATCTCACACTGCATTGTGCTGCTCTGTCTGCAAAAAAGCAGCTAAGTGGGAAAGACAGAATGGAAGGCTTTGCAAGAGAGATATAGTTCTTTGCACTCAATACTTACGTGTTGCCCTGGGGCTACAGCTAAGTACTGCTGAGTAGTAGTATTAAGCAATGTTAAATCCTCGTGCTTAGGAGAATGGCTTGATTCTTATATCTCTTAGCCTCTTCTTGTGGGAAGAGGAGCAGGGCAAGGGTGCAAGAGGCATTTGTATTTTTCAAACTATTTTTAATGCCTGTTTTCTTGATGTAATACAGAATATTTTCCTGATGGAGCTATGGAACAGATACAGTGCTGAAGCTGCTCCGTTTGTTCCTAGTTTTATTTTTGAGCTTGCTTTTATGGAAGTCTGTCTTAATGTAAATCACAGTCTGCCAGTGGCAGCCTTGTTTGGAGAAATGTCGTGTTCGAGGACACGTTCTTTTCTGTGTTGATGGAAAAGCTGGCTGTGACCAAAAGCAGGCTGTCAGACACAGAGACAGGACACTGGTGACATGACGAGTGTAGATGAGAAAGCTCAGCCATCTTCCTGGTAAGAAATGCTGATTCCAAGGGAAAGCTAATGCTCCAGACTTTCTCTGGAATCCTCGTGTTATTGAAAAACATGCATCTTTGTCAAGAAAAGGGGTGGGGCTGGAAAGGCAGTAAGAGCATTGGAAAACAACTGCTAGCATGGAAAAATGAGTTCAGTCTGTGTAGATGAGTTCAGCTGTATTGCTTTGGTTGGGAGGAGACCACTGAGCAAACTGGTAATTGGTTCACAGGAATATGCTTCTTACATGTAACAGACATCCTAAAACTGGGAAATCTGCAAATGTGTTAAGGAAGTAGCCTTGCAGTACAGTGGCAGCACATAGTCTTGCCATGCTGG